ATTTGTTTCCACATTTAAATAAAAATCAAAGACTTTAAAAATATTAAAATAAGAAATTAAATGGGTAGATCATTGTTGGATTGGCTAGCGGCGACGTTGGGCGTCATTACGACCTATAGTGGAAATTGGGTCGTGACAAGAAAGATGTCTCAATAATTAACACTTCGTCTCAATGTGATACGACATCCACAACTTCAACACCAACAAATCAACAATGAGAAAGATAATGTGTAACCACAACTAAATAAGAATAACTCACAATAGAAGAGATAACTTAAACCGATGACTTCAGATAAGGATAATCAATGATGAAAGTGATAACATGTAACAATGATTTCAAATAATAATAAATCAACAAGGAAAGGGAAAACATGTAACAATAAGAGAGGCAACAAGTTCAACTAAAGCATAATAGTAAAATATCAAGTAAAATGTGAACAAGTATTAACAAACTCATTTAAGGCATGTGAAGATAGACTAACACAACTAAGAGTAGGTTGACTATGATAATTTACAACATGTTATGACAATTTAATTAAAGTATGGAAAGAGTCTAAGTAGCCTAAACCGGTCAAATATCACGTACAACCCATATACCCACTCGTCACCTTGCGTACACGGCTTTCACATAACACAAATGACACAATCAATCCCAATTCCTAAGGGGTAGTTTCCCCCACATAAAGTTAGTCAAGATACTTACCTCAACTAGGCTAATTCAACCCTTGAAAATAGCTTTTCCCTTAAAATTTGTCTCAACACAGCTCAAATCCAATCAAAATCGACTTAATATCATCAAACAATGCAAGAGAAATCAATTACAAGAGATAAAGATATGATCTTTATATTTTTTTTCAAAAAGTCAACAAAAGTTAGTCCGGGGCCCACCCGGTCAAAACCCGGGTCCAATGGTAGATTTTGACTACGCATGACCCCACGAGTCCATATATATGATTTATTTCAAAATCCGAGCCCAAATCGACTCTCAAAACTCAAATTCTTATTTTACAAAAACTTGACAAAGTTTCACACATTTTTACTTTGATTCACATGATTTCGATGTTAAAATCTAAGATATATTGATGAAATATGATTGGAAATAGATTAGAATCACTTACCTAAAGTTTGTAGATGAAAATTCCCTCACCAAATCGCATCCTACCGAGTGTAGGATTCTAAAATGAGAGAATGTGAGATGAAATCCCGACTTTCAGCCCTTTTGATCAGCTGCTGATATCGCAATTGCGACATGGATTCGTAATTGCAAAGAATACATCGCAAATGCGGTCGGTGACATTCCTACGCGAACCTCGCAATTGCGATCAATGGGTTCGCAAATGCGAACTTTGCCCCCTTCGCAAAAGCGACAATTTAGTCACAAATGCGAACTACCCAAAGTCCTAGACCACTTTGTAATTGCGAGCCTGGTATCGCAATTGCGATACCCGAGGCATCAACACACTAGATTATGCAATTTCAGTCCAAAATACTCCGAAACATGTCCGAAACTCATCCGAGCCCTCGGGGCTCCAAACCAAACATCCACACAAGTCTAAAAACATCATACAAACTCACTCGCGCGATCAAAAATATAAAAATAACATCTAAAACTACGAATCGAATACTAAAACGCACAAGTTTCAAAGTAAATTTCAAGAACTTCTAGAATTGCAACTAAACATCTGAATCCTATCAAATCAACTCCAAATGATACCAAACTTTGCAGACAAGTTCTAAATAGCATAACGGGCCTATTCCAAGTCCAAAAATTAAATTCCGAGCTCGATAGTTAAAAGTCAACCTACGATTAAACTTCAACTTCAAATTACCAAGTTTCGGCAAAACAACACAAATCAATCTACGGACTTCCGAAATCAATTTTGGGCATACGCCCAAGCCCTAAAAGTGCATTGCCACCTTCATTATACATGTTTTCTCCCGTCAAAATCCTAAAGTAGTAGATATTCCATATTCAAACTCCCCATGTTCACCTCCCTCAACCCCAAATCATCCCTCTTGTAAACAATTTGAGCATTATAATGAAGAAACTGAAAGCCTTATTTCTTCTTCAAGCTTTGATTCTTCCTTTGACTTGAATTATCATCTAAACCCTCTTAGGACCGGAAGAAAAAAGAAGAACAACATGAGACTTTGGAGAGTACAAAGTTACATTTTGAATAGTTTAAAAGGTGGTGATGATAAGAAGACAAAGGATGTGAATGAGAACTTTGTGATAGTGAAAATGTCAGCAGATCCCTATGAAGATTTCAAGAAGTCAATGGTTGAAATGATAATGGAAAACAAGATGGTTAAAGAAAAGGACTTAGAACTGCTTTTGATTTGATTTCTGAGTCTCAATTCAAGAAACCACCATGCAGTTGTTGTGGAGGCTTACATAGAAATTTGGCAGGAATTATTCAGCAAATCTCCCAAGACCTTGGATATATTTTAATTTTGTAAAGCTTAAAAGCTTTGGGTAAACAAATAATCGCAGGCAATAGTGGAGCTAATAATAGATTCACGAGTTAGGTCAAATTCAACGTCTTGATGTCCAGCCATATATATATATATATATATATGTGCGAAGATTAATATCAATAGAGTTAGATATACATTTCAGAACTCATTCTCTCAATTCAAAATTCACAAACTTCAAATTTTGGATTCGCAGTAGCTAATGAATGAGGTTCCAACTCCCAAGACGTGATAAGTTGTTCTTAATTCATTAATTATTCCATGTATAGGATTCTCCATATGTCTGCAATTTATATTTGATTTTGTTGCTGATTAGTCGCATATTTCATTGCCCTCCACCAATTTTTGTTTATTTGGAAAATGCATTCAAATAGCTAAGAAATAAGTAACTTAGTAACATGTGTTTCTATATTGTCCTAATTAAACTAATGAATTGACATGATTTCAGATCTCTTTTGAACATATGTACGCGCAAGTTGAAATTATAGCATTTACAAGTAATGAAGTAAATTGTACTTTTCGGTTACTCTAATTAATCTAATAAGTTGACTTAATTTGAAATCCGTTATTTTAAAAGATACATGAGAATTGAATTGGATCTCATTTATATCACTGCAAAAGAGCGCAATACTTCTATACTTTTTGTCTCTTCTTTATTGTATCTTACTGTGTTACAAGTCGCATGCACCTAGTTATTGACCTCTAACATATTTTCATTTTTCCTTTTTGATTACTTTGAAATGCAACCCCTATTATATTCTATCTATCCTTCTTCATTTAAAATAAACCTTAACACAGGTGTTCGATCGTCGTGATTAACGACGATGCATGTGGAACACATTCAAACACAAAATTATATAACATGGAGAATATACTCTAGTTTGGTACTATCGTGATTAACGATGTTAAGTATTTGGAAAAACCAAGATTATATTCTAGTTTGGGACAAGGCTTTAAGATCCATTCTTTTCTCAAAAGTTTGTTTGCACTCGCACTTAATTTATGTTTTCCTATGTGAACAATAAGGGTCTGTTTGGTACGAAGGAAAATATTTTTCGAAAAATATTTTTCAATTTTCTCATGTTTGGTTGGTTTAAATATTTTTAAAAATATTTTCCTCATGAACTCATTTTCCTCCAATTGGAGGAAAATGTTTTCCCTATCAAGAGAAGGGAAAACATTTTCTAAAACACTTTTTCAACATTTCCCACCTTATTCTCTATCCCACCAATCCACCCTCACACCCCCACTTACCCACCCCTACCTTACCCCACCCTCGCCCTACCCCACCCTAAATAAAAATATTATAAATAGTACTTTTTTT